CAACTACTCTGAACCAAATTTTCATAGGGAACTGAGATAAAAAAAAACCTAAGGCTGCGCATAAAGACAGAAAGTGAATGAAATGCAAACAAGTGGTTAGTTAATGCGCCATTCAATGGCATTGTGTGCGAAATAGCGCTTCTAAAACTATTTTGATTTGTTACTCGCAAACTGTGTATCATTATTGTTATTAATAATAAATTTCAAACAAACACTAACCTCAGTAATACAGTTACTAAACAAACTTAATTAATTACACCAAGTAGACAACAACGACAAGTAAAACTACTTGAATTTCGGAAGTAACTTTTAATTTTAACATCCAAAAAAATATTAAAATCGTACATTTGTAAGAATGCTCGTTTTAGACGCAAATTTCTCGTTTTATATTAGTGATTTAGTTCGCTATTAACACGCGCAGTGTTATCTATTTGTAATAACCCATATAAAAACTTTTTTATCTGTTTGATTGTTAATATTATAAAGAAGAAAAATTTTACTGTTATAAAGTGTACATTATCAGAAACTAACATAAAATTTATTAATTATATTGAATTAATTAATTTATAAGGCGGTGCGAAGTTTGCGGGGTCATCTATTATTAGATAGTATAAGGTCCCCTGCTGCGTTTGTTTGAAGGCGATAAACTCAAAAACTACCGAACGGGGGTTCGTGTGGTTTTTAAAGGACGGAATTATTCATGAGGAAGCCTTGCTGTATAATTTATTAAAATTTAGCTCGAAGTGCCTGAAGTATGAAGATGACAGAAGAAATCCTGCCGAATGGGAGTTTATTACACATAGATATATATAGAGTAAGTTTGCAGTCGTTAATACCTTGCAATCTGCATTGGGCCCGCATGGAGCATCCTGAACCATCCATAAGGAAATCCTGAGCTCCCTGCAGTGGGGACGTAAAAGGACCGATGATGATGAAATATATATATGAGGAGGAGGATGGCGCAGTGATTAGACGGATTTATTTCACGAGTTCCTCCTTGCTTCGGAAGGCACATGCCGTTAACTCTGGCTGCATCTACATCTACAGTTTTTTTCATGTACCAACTCGCGCTGGACACGAGTGGTGCATTAAAGCTCCTTCTTGCTAATTTGATTCCGTCTGTAAAGGTTAATGAATCTATAGTGAATATCTGTGCTCCTTATTTAGTTGACCTATCCTATACCTTAACTCGCTGCGGCGGACTATCTTACGAGGAGGACTGAGACTCAATCCAAGTTTAGTGCTAGAGGAGAGAGATCGTAATCTACGGAACGGAATAGACTTGAGCACATAACACACTTTTCCTCAGACAATCAAGACCCTCAAAACCTGCGCTCCTACAGTCGGGACGTTAATTGGCTAGATAATAACAAGAAAGAAATACCTTAAAATTACTAACCTGAAATTATAGTTTTGCGCATTAAAATCACGGCTAATACTATCTATTTTGGTCGCAGAGACATTTATTCATACTTCTACATTGTCGTGCTTGTTTTGAATATACATTTTATCCATTATTCATTCACTAACATGTAACAATAAATCCAGCCTGTCATATAATATGTCATTATCAATCATCAAGCTAATTTGCATGATCGTTACATATTTGCCGAGAGAATGTGTAACATTATACAGTACAATGAAAATGATAAGAGATTAAATTTATATTGAATATTCCCATTTCTCCTGATTTCATATGAAAATCTGCTCCAAGTGTTATTACATTAAGAATTATAACCTTCTTGGAGATCCACGCGTTAAATACACGCGTCCAAAAGGAATTCATGAGAATCATATTAGCATTATTTCGCACCTATAAGTACGCTTCGGCTATTTATGGAGGCTTTAGCAGTTATTTGTTAGTAATATCATAAATACAAGCGCAAACAGCAGAGAATCTTTTAATCCCCAAAATCCTCGGGACTTTAACAGTTCAAACAACAAGCAAATATTGCGACATATATAAAAATGATATTTTAGAATTTAGGGGCACGGAAGTGCCCCGCCAAGTCAAGCAAAAAAGTAAAAAAGGTACGGCGGTACTATCTACCATCTTTTTTCCAAAGCCATTCGGGCCATTTTAGACCCCCTGTAACTTTATTGTGGAGTAAATTAGAAGCCTAATTTTTTTAGTGATCAAGAGGGCATCACATGACGAGGCATATTTCCAAATTAGATTAAATTATAAAGAGTACTTTAAGAATTATTGCGATTCAAAATACCTTAATTTTGCAGAACCATAGGCTCCAAACTTCAAACACTGTTATTATTTTGCATAAAAAGTAAGGATTTTCTTTTTGTTTTTTTTTTTTGACTTTTGTATAAATTATAACTGTAGAACATTTTGAATACATCCGTCAATGTATTAATAACACAAACCAAAAAGAATTTAACAGCACATGATACAAACCCATTACAAACCTAATATTACTACGTAAAGATACAAACCATAACATTTACCAAAGAGTAAATAAAAATACATAATTAAGAAAGATCTATGATGAGGTAACTAAAACTTCAGAGAAGATATATATATAAATCTATGTGGCGTACAAAGTGGACGAAGGACCAAGGAATGGCCAATAAACAGAATGAAATGGGCTTTGTTAAGATATCCATGGGCATAATAATCGATACTTAAAGAGACAAGGGCTAAGTTGATGCGGCATATGTGGCACTTTCGAGCACGACATATCTAAACTTTTTTTATCGAATCAATGTCAACTTTGGTTGTATTCTGACTGATTATATATTCATTCTCCGAATAGATTTAACATATTATTATCGAAAACCAATACAAAAAGTCTGCAGAGACAAAGAGTGAGTGAGCTTTGATGCCCGTAACTGACGCTCAAGATATTATTGGGTGTATAGGTTTGTTAAGTATTCCTAATCTCTGAAAAGGTTGGATAGGTGCTCTCATAGAAAGATAGGTACTGAATTAATCGTGTTAGTTGATTTCATAACTTTTTACGGCAGAAGAGTTGCGTTGTGAGACTGGTACATTTTTGAACATATTCAGTGCTACTTATAAACAAGGTTTAGCGTCGGAGTAAATTTACGCTAAAATTGCAATTTTAGTATTAGTCCATATTCATATTACACAGAGAATAAGCAAATCTACTACCTTCTAGGAGCAAATATTACTTCCGTAGAACCTCGTACTTAGTTAACCTTTGTTAAGTCTCTGTTTAATAATATGAATTTTGACTAATACGAAGAGCAGTCTCAGCGTAAATTTAATCCAACGCTAAACCTTGTTTACAAATAGCACTGATTATATTTTTGATGGGAAGAGTATTACAATTTAGCGTAAGTACTTACTACAGAATTTGAACGGGCGTGACTCATATTCAATGATCTCTACTCGCTAATAATGACCACGTCATCGAAGATAAAAAATTGTTTATCCACTTGTTCCAGCCTTTAACTTTATATACTCGTATGTTTGGTTTCTTTATACCTAACTACGTCTATCTTGATAACTTTATAAAACTGTTTAGTAATTCTTTGAAATTTGTAACTATTATAGGTATAACCTTATTCATTTAAGACAGTGTTGTTTTCTAATGAGGTTATATAGTTTTTCATTTGTTTTAATATATTTCTATGTTAATATTTTAGTGAGAAAAGGTTTCGTTGTTGTTTGGATTAATTAGTTATACTAGCGGACCTATTTATTTTCACCTTCCCGAAGCTGTGTCGTTCATAAGTGTGACATATGTGGGCGAAATTGCAGGCAAATAGCTAGTCTTGCATAATATAGTATTGCCGACAAAGGAGATTTAATGCATTTTTTTATTTCTTTGTATTTTTCATTATATTGTTTATTTCAATATTATGTCACAATAATATTATCTACTTAAGCCATGAATGCAAGAAGTTTCATTTCAATTATATCTTGCATATTTTAATTAAGGTGTGTCTATAATGGATTTTGATATTTTATCGATACATTTGTCATCTAGATAGGTATATCTGGTGTAATTTTCCGCGAAAAAATAATCTATAGAGTTGCAACTGCATCGATAGTTCCAGCACGATCCAAGTGTATTCCAACAAGATTCGATCTTATTATATTTACATGAATACTTACCTTTTTAATTATTTACATATTACTTACAGAAAGCCATACAAGCAAACCACAAAAATGTCACAGCGTTAAATAAATACGTCATTAAAATATCATAGGAAGACAGAAAAATATTTAATGACGGAGTTTACGAAACATATTGTATTAATATGAGATATTATATGTGCTGCATATGTTATAGTAGCAAGCTTCCTTAAACGTTCAGTCAATTCCGGCACAAGTTGAGAATGGCATTGTAAATTATTATCTTTATATAAAATAGGTACCTTATAATAACTAGGATTACTGTTTAATGTTATTGTAAAAAACAGTTTTTATAAATTGTGATGATATATTCATATTCTTATAAGTTCCATTAAAACTTCCAATTACCAATCGTCAGAGTTGCTTATGTTATCAAAAAGTATCATTACCTATTTTGTGAATTACAAAGAAATTGTGTAAAACAGCATTATATTATAAAAATATATCTACCATAGTGATGTAGAGATATTTCCGAAAACAACTTGATTTATATGCAAATAAATGATTATAAATCAAATCAGTGCCTTTTTATGAATGTGGTTAATCTTAGTATGACGTTATCTATTTTTATCTGATAGTGAAGGAAGCAGTTGTATACATAGGTATAATGTAAACAACAACAACCATGTGTGAATGTGCAGTTCCGAACATAGTGTGTATGCGTAACAAACCAGTTCCTGCATATTAACATTTTTAATGCAAAAACGTAGAATGAATTTATATTTGAAGAAAGAAATTTTCATTATTACTGTTTATAGAAATCATATCTATAATAAGATACGATCAATTGCTTTTAATACGTGATTTAATAAATATTACAATTAACCAATGGAATTAGCTAAGAATGACATAAACAATTGGAAAATATTGTAATAATACTTACTGTCGGATGATGGAACAATACGCAGCGGATATTTACTATTGGAAGCAGTCACACCGAATATTTTGACGTTAAGAACACATAAAAATATACACCACCACATAATGACACAAAATTTGGGGGCTGTCATTGGACAGCCCACCAAAACGAAAGAACGTCCTCTAATAACTTTCAGTTTTGTCAAAATCACTGTGCTATGTAACACTAACAAAAATTTCAAGGGTGTTTACTGTTTTTCCAGATTTGTACACTGTTCCAATTGTATTTATAAAGCACAACACTCCGAACAATCCGATGGGAGCAATATTTTGGTGATAAGTTGTCCGCGATGCGAGTTTGAGGTTATTTTTACGTGCACCAGTGCGAACGCGACAGAGTAATGTCGTGTCGTGTACGAGGCGAGCAGGTCAGCAGGTGCGAGACGGGCAAGTTTACTAGTTGTGTCGGTAGATGGCGATGGCGCGTGACGTCGTTTAGTTTCGGCGACCGCACCGCGGCGCTGCGACGCTGATTCTAGCTAGAGATTTTTCCAACGCATCACACCAACAACGTCGTAATATAAAGGGACACTCACATGCCAATTGGCGTTGAACAACTGACGAGATACTCGACTGTTTAAATAGTAATTGTGTGGTAATTTTTGATTAGCAAATTTAAATTTAAGTACCAAGCATTTTCACATTTAACTCAAAATTTTATAACTTTTTCTGAATCGTCGACGCCTTCGAAAAAGTAAACGTAATATTATATAGTACTCTTTCATTAAACTATTACCAATTATAATATATAATTTCAGTGTAAATTTTGAAAATGTCAGTGTTAAATTTGAATGTAATATATATTTATATATAAGGCTATATTTAACAGATCTTTAAAAAACATATTTATGCTCAAACAAATATTAACGCTCTGAGTGTGTGTCATTTGTGTCAAAGTTAAGCAGACCCTTCAAACATCTTATTAAAAAGTTAAAATTCAAAGCTATGATTGTTCTTTGTGACCTTACCCTTATAGGGTAACAGGAATGCGCGCGCATATTAACAACGGCTGTCGTAGAAAGACACCGGGGGGCGTGGCGCAGTCGTTACGCACAACCACGCAACGCGAGATAAGGCGGCAAGCGTCTGATTACGGTGGTCTTTATAATAGTCCGATTCTTATTGCTTGAGACTCCTACCGAAACTAGCAGCATATTAAATGAATAGGACGCAAGAGTCAAGACCCTGAAAATTCGTGTAAGCCATCAGTCGAATTAGCGGAACAAATCTTTGGGCTAACAAAAACGTCAGATAAAGATGCGAAATTGTCTAAAACAGTAAATAACGATGGAGTTATTTTGTAGACGAAAATATCGTAATTATTTGCTTATCGCCAGATTGGCATTAAGCAATGTAGGTTTAGGTTTGATTAGATTTTAAAATTTCATTAAGATTATAAACTAACGCTTTTTTACGTGTACTACTTAAAAATTGTTGTGATTAATATTCACCACCTGTTTAATACCTATAGATAGTAAATAAAATATTGCGCATTTGAAATCAGATATTATATATTACGATAAGATTAACATGTCTACAGATGTACAAAAGTAAATAAAATATATTTTTTAACCCTGTTGATGAGAACACACAATCGTAACAAAATAATTCCTTATTAATTTTGCAATATTTAACATTTGCAAAACAGGCTTTTTAATGTATTAGTTATTCGGTTTGATGTTTCTTTTTTGACAACAGAATTGGTTCCATATCTCTAAAACACATTTCTATTATTTAAGCTCTCAAAAGATGCTGATATAGAAATAAAGAATTTTCCTACTAAAATAACCAACAATTATTAGCGACTTTGTTTGTTTAAAGAATAAAAAACACTATAAAATATATATAATTTCATCGTAACACTCCTATAAACGAGATATGGGTAACGTAGGTAGATAATAGGTTTTTTGAATTAGTATTAAGTAATAAAAATAACAACGACATGCTTATGTACTTCATTTATTAGATGGAGAAAGAAGCAGCACTTGTTAAGATTCTTGGTGGTTCTTCTCCGTACAAGGTCTCCCGTAGATTAATGAACCGATGGCGAAGCTTTCAAAAGAGCTTGTTTTGATTACCTAGACCTATAACCTAGCCTGAATAAATGTTTTTGAATTGATTTTATTCGCTTCATTTTCTTACTTTTAGCGCACTAAACATAACATTTAATTGTTATGTTTTTTATTTTTAGTTATTTTATCGAAATTTCTCAGTCAACCGTTTCATTTGACACCCACATGAAAGTTCTGAAAGATCGCCATCTTGGGTGATCTTCCATATTAAATTCAGAATGCAGTCATTTTATGATTAACATCTTTTTCTTATCAATCTCTTTCATTTGATACCTATATATTGTACAGTACTCAAAAACCATAATAGATTTAAAAGGGGGTTATTTAATGCATATGCATGAGCATTATCATTTAAATAAAAACTGTATGTAAAATTTTACCTTAATTAGTTAAGGATTTGGCAAAAATAAATACATACATTCCAAGTAAAATAAAACCTTGTAAGTACTCATCATCGAAAATACCCATTTTACAGTTACAACTTTTTATTATCTGCAGAGTTATCATGTTTATCTACCAACGTTTACTTTGAATGACAATGTCAAAGTCATGAGACGCTTTATCAGTATTGCCAAGGCATACACAATAAGCTGACAATATTATATAGTGCATCAGACATAGCCAATCAAGATAAAATAGCATAAATTGCAATCTTCAAAAAGAAAAATCGGGCCTCGAACAAATTTTAGGAAACGTGATTGGTTGCATGTTTTCCTCGTATATTCATTAGATCTTCGCTTTGAAAAGTGGCATTATATGAATAAAAGGAGACAATAAATAACTAGAGAGCACGTTTTTATAACGAATTTGCTCGACAGTGAAAATGTATTTATAGCCTTTTTATTATATATGTATTAGTTTGAATAAAATCTCGTAGTCTGGTGTATCCACTTGGACACTTTCAACTGCTGATTGTCTAAAGTCACACTACTTTAGGCCTTATAGTATTTTGTCGCGCTGTAAAAATTATAAATTCATATTTTGAGATTATGTATGAAAATGATGGAGTTTCTTTTATTTTGTGTCTTTCTTGAGACTATACTATCTATACTATTATTATAAGCTAAAGAATTTGTTTAGTCGTTAATTAATTAAGTCGTTAATCTCTACTTTCGGGTTAGAATTTTGAAAAATATTTTTGTGTTGAATAATTCATTTATTGAGGAAGACTATAAAATATAACATCATGCTAAGACTAATAGGGGTGGCGTAGCTATGAAAAATGTTCCAAAAACAGAAAACTACGCGTGCAAAGCAGATTGCGGAAAGCTAGTTATAATATATTTGAATGAAACATAGGAAAACGCCGCATTATAATCTAAGTAATCATATATTATAAGTACCTAATCGTTATGCTGAATCTAAATCTGAATCACTTTTTAATATGAATAATTGATTTTCTTTTATCTATCTATAACATTATTGTAGTGATTATACACGTGATACTATATTTTATATCACTCTTATCGCAAATCAATTACACTCATACAAACTTTATTAATTTTATTATTGGCTTTAGGACATGATTTATCCGAAATCTTTTGAGGTGATTACTAAATAAGGTAATTATGGTAAGTACTGAATAATATTCACTATATCCAGCCATGAAGTTTATTAAAAGTATATGTTATGTTAACAAAGTAGTTTAAAAATATCCAAAACTTTAGACGCCTTTTTATGTAAATTGCGGGGACGAAGGACAGTGTTTCTCACTAACAAAAATAAAACAGGTCACGTGCGAGTTGTACTCGCGCATGAAGGGTTTCGTACAGTCTGATACATATTTCAAGCGTCTACTTGTTGCCGTTATCAATATCGAGCAAAAAATAACGTTTGTTTTATAAAAGCCCCCAAATAGTTATTTTATTCGATTTTTTGTTCATAATTTCAACCGTCTACTGTCACGATATAAGAAATATATCCTGGTATACGCACGGAAGGACAGACGGACAGCGGAGTTTTAGTAATAGAGTCGCCTGCAGCTTTACAAGGCGCAGGTTCGGCCCCATATGGAATACTGTTCTCATCTTTGGGCAGGTGCACCCCAATACCAGCTTCTCCCTCTAGACCGCATTCAGCGGAGAGCGACTCGAATCGTCGATTGCCGGGACACTTCAAGTCGGCTTGATCCACTGGCCCTGCGTAGAGATGTTGCTTCACTGTGCATCTTCTATCGCATCTATTACGGGGAATACTCCGAGGAATTGTTCGGACTTATACCTGCCGCTACTTTCCGCTATCGTTCCACGCGACAAGAAATCCACGCCCATCATGTGGATGGTTGGAAGTCCTCAACTGTGCGTTTTTCTAGAAGTTTTCTGCCTCGCACAGCCAAACTCTGGAACAGTTTGTCGCCAGCGGTATTTCCGGACCGATACGACCTTCAAACTTTCAAGCGTAGAGCTTATTCGTCCCTCAAAGGCCGGCAGCGCACTTGTAGCTCCTCTGGTGTTGCAGGTGTCCATGGACGGCGGTAATCACTCACCATCAGGTGATCCGCCCGCTCGACTGCCCCCTATTCCATAAAAAATAAAAAAAAATAAAAACCCTAAAAAAGATTCATCAATTAACGAAGCTATCAATACCTTTTTGAATTCGGTTAAAAACCAACTTTATAGAGGAAGAATTTACATAAGACTTTTATTGAATTAAAATGGTTTGCTCCGGACACGAATGCAAATGCATGCGTAATAAAATGACGCACGTTTTCAATTGGATGTTATTTCCAACTTCGTTTCCAACGACGGCAATGTCACTGATCAGTCTAAAGATCATTCTAGGAAACTTGTAAATTGTTATTATGATGTTTTTCATTTTATGTGCCATAAATAAACTTTATTTTACTGGCTTTCCGCTGACGGCTTAGCACGCGTATACTGACTTAATGGTACTTTTCTTCCTAAGGAACCATATAGTATAATAGAAAGTAGCCTATATGTTAGTCCATGCTGAGAATTATCCGTATACCGAATTTCATCAAACTCCGTTCAGTAGTTTTTGCGTGAAAAAGTAACAAACATTCAAACCTATAAAATTTTCGCCTTTATAATATTTAGCGTTAATATTAGGTTTTTACCTATAAAATTGCCGCTTTTCATGAAATGAATGAAGCATATTATTTTTCTATATTTTTATTTCTATTAATCAAAATACTCACCCATGCAATCAATGCATATTTGGTAGCTTATTGATGGCCTTCTTGGAGAAATCAGCTAAATGGGAGGCAAATTCTTCAAATGCATTTTGTACTGCCTCTTGAGTATTGAATTTTTCTCCTGCCAAGTAGGTGGTTATCCAAATTCTGGAAAAAGTCGAAGTCTGTAAGTGCAAGGTCTGGTGAGAAGTGGCGAATGACGGAAAACTTCCAACCCCTGCTCTTATAGCTTGGAG